ATCTAATACGTCACAGGGAGCTTGCCATGCTTTGCCGTGTGGGCAAGATACTCTCGGTAGCTTGCTGGGCTCTCCAAGAAGGGCGGAGGAATCGAACTCGGGTCGGCCATGTTGGTCGCTTGCAAGGCAAACACCCTACCCGCTGTGCTATCGCTCCAGCCCCTATTAAACTATAAACTCCATTAACATAAGGGCAGGGCTGATCCTTAGTGAGACAGTGCCTGGCACAGGCCAGATACACTGTGATAACTTCCGGAATGAATGAGTAGAAGAAACCTGTAGAGGATCTAACTCTACTTGCACCTCATTTCCAGCCACTTGGGTGGTTCATGCTGGAAAGATTTGGCCTAAAGTTTATTTAAGAAAGTGTCTGAACCCCTGCCCTCTTCTCTCCAACTTCCCCCTTGTCCTCCTCCTCCCCAACTCAAAATCCCCAGGGAGTCTGTGAAAACTGCCAATGAAAGATAGCACTTTTGAAACTGCAGAATCTAGTCACACACCCTGGAATTTTATAGATAATATATATTTGTAGTTTGACTCCAGTGGTTATTGGAAAGGAGAGTTTTTCTTAATGAAACTTTAATGTTCTTGCCTTTTCCATTACCGGATGATTGGTAAGACTAATGATCGAGTGAGAAAGAATCTGAAAAATAAATGGTCATAAATTAGATCCTACTATGATCTAATTCTACTGAGATTCTTCTTTTCAAAATACAAACAGCTCTGTCTAAGTTCCCCACTTGAACCCAAAGGTGCATTTTTCATTCAGCACAGGGCACACCTTAGGGAAGGAGGCTGCTCTAAATCATGAAACGAGCACATTTCCACATTTCTTCTGATGAACTGAAGTGCACATGGCACCACCCACAGCCTTTCTACAGAATTTAAAAAACTCTAGAAGTAAAGGGAAAAAACATTTGCATTTCTAAAATGGAATCTCTAATGAAAATTACCTTTGGAGAAAATAAAGTATGTTTGACTTAATGCTGTCTGTAGTAAAATGACCACAGGGACAGGCCTAAATGGTTTATTAAGTAAGAAAGATTGAACATATGAAAAATTGTTCTTTCCTAGAATATTTCCAGCTCACATATGTAATTTATATCATGGAAAAATTCAACACAAAAGGTCTATTGTTTTTGGCAAAATAATGTGCAAACATGCTTAATTAGGATGCAAACTGCTAGCACAGCTTAGTACTGTTGACAGCCGTAAGCTTTAGGCAGCCATTTCTACTGTTGTTATTATCTTACTTATGGAAAATACAAAAAGCATGTGGAACTGGAAAACAAACTATCAAATTTGTAGCATTTTAATCTTCAGATTCTTATTTTACATTAACATTGCAAACTGATTCTTTGAACATCTTTCACTTGGAAAAGAAATGCGAAAACACTGCTTTTGCCTATAAACTTACTCCCATGGATATCTAAAAAAGATGTCAGTATTTAATTGAGTGCCTGTTTCTAGTGGGCTTACTTTCTTAAATGATGGTCTCTTTCTGGGGAGAAGTGATCATTTTTTTATCCTGACAATTCCATTTCATCCACTGCAAGATGTAAATGAATGCCTGCATTACGTGAATTATTTGGTCAGTTAATATCCATAGCCACCATGGCGCTAGAGCAATAGTAAACAGGTAGGATGCTTGCTTTGCATGGGGGCCAACCTTGACTTTATCCCCAGCACACCATATGGTCTCCTGAACATTCCAGGAGTGATCTCTGAGCATAGAGCCAGGAGTAAGTGCTGAGCCAGCTGGATGTGGCCAAAGACCTCAACATTTTTGTTTTTGTTTGGGGGCAACACCTAGTTTCCCTGTGGATATATTTCTGCCTCTGAGCTCAAGGATCACTCCTGGAAGAGTTTAGGGGACCATATATGTGGTGCTGGGAACTGAAACTGAGTAGTAGGAGAACACCTTACCCACTCTATTATCTCTCAGGCTCCAAAATCCCAGCATCTTGAATTGAAATTATTCCCATGTTATACTCTGTAATTTCCTCACCAGCCAGAGGCTGCCCTTTCTCCACTCTGCTGCCAGAGTGATCAGGTAATTTCCCTGCTTAAAATCTTTCATATGGCTTCCATGTCCTGCCAGGAGTGATCCCTGAGTGAAAAACCAGGAGTAAGTTATGAAAGCCATGGTATAGCTGGTATAGCCTTCAAACATTATATATGTTATATGTATATATGTATATATATTATATCTATTTCACCAGTTTCTCAGCGCTCTTTAGATAAAGTTCAGAATCTTGACTGTGAATGATTTGACTTCTGTAAACTGGTGAGATCAACAAGTCCTTTCTGTAGTTTCAGAAAATCATTAAAAAAAGACACTTCCATTAAAAATATTTTATAAAATATAATAAATTAAATGTATTTATTAAATATAGAATATTTCAGTATTAGTAACATATGACCATATACAAATTTTCCTAATTCTTTCTCTCTCCCTCCCTCCCTCTCTCCCTCCCTTATTCCCTCCCTTCTTCCTTCCCTCCTTTCCCATTCCCTATTCTTATCCTTCCTTCCTTCCTTCCTTCCTTCCTTCCTTCCTTCCTTCCTTCCTTCCTTCCTTCCTTCCTTCCCTCTCTTTCTCCCTCCCTCTCTCCCTTCCTTCCTTCTTTCCTTGTTTTGGGCTACAGTGTGCAGGGCTTACTCCAGGCTCTGAATTTAGAGATCACTTCTGGCAGTGCTCAGGGGGCCATCTGGAGTACTGGGGATTGAAACCAGGTCGGCCATATGCAAGCCAAATGGTCTATCTGCTGTACTATTTCTCTGGTTCTTAATTTTCTTTCTTAAATAAAACATGAAAATACAGGCAAAAACATGTATGGTAAAATATGCAGTATTACTATAACTTATACAAGTAATTGCATGATTGCCATCTGTCTTTAAGTAGTCAGAGACATGGAAGCTTAAACACTTTGCCTATTTTGTAGGGATATCTCATCTCAGATTTTATAGCCATTCAGAGGTGTATGGCTCATGCAGTATCTCAGGAGCTGCACTTTTAAAACCCCAAACTTGGTTTAATTACTCTTTTTAGTATGAAAATTATTAATTTCTGAATAAGCTTCCTTGCATTGTCATTTTTCCCTGGACTTCATACATTGTTTAGTTCATTCCTAATTAAAGCATCACCACACATCAAATATTTAACTCTCCTTTGCCAGCCAGGACCAAAATGTTTGTTGTGCTCAATTCCTTATGGACTTACAGAAGGAAAATTATGAATACCCCTTGAGTCCGAATAGTCAAGGGAGAGTCTACATTTAACTATAGTCATTAATATACTTCAGATCAACAAAACATAAGTCACTCAATAAATAGGATTTACAAATACAATTAGACCTGTTAAGAACTGTAGCTAGTACATAAAAAAATGCCAGAAGATGGTTAGTATGGAGTGAAATAGTTTCTCAGGACAGAAGAGATAGTACAGGAGGTAAGGCACTTGGTTTGCAAGTTGCCTGTATGGTTGCAAACGTGGTCCACATCCTATATACCAATGGTACTGTGAATATGCTATGGGTCATTCCTGAGCTAGGAATAAGCCCTAAGCACTGCCAGGTCTGGCTCCAACAACAATTTTTTTTATGATATGATCTTCAAACTTTTTACACAAAGTAAAATAAAGAACTAAGCCCCTATGGGAGACTTGTTTCTTGTGAAAAATGTTTCCATAACTGGTGCTTTCAGAATTACTATTTTCATGACAAGTTATGTGACGATGGGGGAAATTCTCTGATATGTAGCTTAAAAGATATTCATCTTAAAGCACATCAGGAAAAAGAAGCATACCATGCATGCTTTAATCTTGTAGAAGTTAAATGCATCTCAAATAGTAACATAATAATTCTTATTTTCCAGCAAAGCAAAGGATGCTAGAAGAGTTGACTATGACTTACTCTTAAAAAAATTTAAGAATTAATATCTAAGTAAAATTTAAACTTTAGGTGATAATTTTACCCACATTTTCAGAACATTTTATTCTCTTTAGGGTTTAAATTTTTTGTTTCTGTTTCATTTTTGAGCCACACCTGGCAATGTTTCTACTCTGTGCTCAGTAGTAAGTCCTGGCAGTGCTTGGGTTATGATATGTGGTTCCTGGGAGTAAAGCTGGGGTCAGCAGGATACAAGGCAAGGGCCTTAGTTTCTGTATTACGTCTCTGGCCCAAATCAACATTGTTTTAGAGTATAAAAATGTCAACTCTCTTGAAGCTGAACTTGTAACTTTCTTGAAAATTTTAACTTTCTTGAAAAAGTTATACTTCTGAAATAAAAAGTAATAATATAGTTTTAGGATATTCTTCTTCATTTTTCCCTCTTTTACTTCATGGTACTCAGGTTTTACTCCCTGAGCTGTGCTCAGGGACCACCCCTGGAAGTGCCAAGCAGGGGGAACATATGTGGTACTGGGGGATGGAACTGGGGTCATTCAAGTGCAAGGCAAGTTCCTAGTCAATGTACTCTCTATTGAACAGAAATTTTTATTAATGATAGGTGAGAAGCATTTCTTGTAGTGGTGCTTTTTATCAAGAACATAAATTTTGGTGTTAGACTTGGGTTGAAGTCTTTGTTCTTATTTTATTTTTGGGCCACACCTAGCAATACTCAGGGGTTATTCCCGTCTCTGCACTCAAGAATTAATTCTGGCAGTGCTTGGGGGAATCTATCTAGGATGCTGGGAATTAAACTCATGCAGGTCACTTGCAAGGCAAACAGTCTACCGACTGTACTATTGCTCTGGCCCCATCAAATCTTCTTTTTTTTTTTTTGATTTACTGTGTGACCCTGAGTATTTTATTTGACCTTTCTAATTCTCAAGTTATGAATTTGAAATAGAGATATAAAATTCATAAGAGTTATGTGAGGTTAAAATAAGGCAAGAGACATATTTAACACAGTATGTGGGATATGATAAACAGTTCACAAATGTAGTCATCATCATCAATAGGATTTTTCCACCAGGACTTTAATTTTCCAATGGTTACCTTATTGACAGGAATGATGTTTTTGACATTGTGGTAGAAGCCAAAGTAAACCATGTTGAAAATCCCATGGCGTCCCAAAGTTGCTGTAAATCCCTTGTTGAGGCCCTGGAGTCCAAAGCCTTCCTTCTTAATGATGTGTCTTGCATAACTCATAGTAGATGGTTGCTGCATGAGAAAGGAGCAAGTCCAGAAAAATCATCTTTAAGACTGAGAAATAGAATAAATCACCACATTAACTTTCCTTCAGTCTCAATTATTAGGGACTGTTTTATCTAAACATGAATAATCATGCCTACATTCCTGTCTTTCACAATTAAGAAACTCCAAAAGTAAATAAAATCACATGCATAACAAGAGACCTGAAAGGGAAGACTGTTAGCAAAGAAAACATCTTTGGTAGAATTAGTGAAACTAATGACATGTAATAACTGTCAGGACTTTCAACATGTAAGTAGTTGTATCCAATTCTGGATTATCTACACTAATGGAGGGGATTAGCCACACAGACCAATTGGTAATCCAGAACTGCTCCTAGTCTAAAAAGAAATTTATTTTTGGTGCATGAATCCAGCATGTTTACTTTTCTAATTATGTTTTTCTAGAGTGAATGCTACAGTTAATCTTGATTCCGTTGCCTCAGTACTCGAACCTGTGCTAGGTTGGAAATCGCCATGGATAAATGGCAGTTGATTGTAGACTTCCTCCAGAAGGCTGACAATCAGTGTGCATATCATTTGCTATGATAAATAATAAATCGGTGGTATTGAGGGTACTGGGTTACCTTTAATTTTCTCTTTGCCAAATTTTGATTAAGGTTGAAGAAACTTACTTCAGTGCTGGAGTCTAGTTTGTTACTTCTGCTGGATCTTGCTAAGGAGTTTGTATTTTTGGTTTTCCCTGTGGTTTATAACTCATTCTGATTCAACTACAACTCATGTAAGTTGGTTTTTTTTTAAAGTTTGAATGATTATTTCCTTTTTTGAAGGGACAGTGCAAAGGACAGCTCTTCCTCTTAATTTCGAATAAAAAGTAAGGAGGGGGGAAATGTTCAGGATATATAAAATAGGCAATGGGTGAAAATCATGTTTGGTCTACAGTCTACTTTCAGCATGCTTCTCCCATCCTGGGAGGATCCTCCCAACACCCTTTAAAAAATGACATTTTCATATAGGAAAGCTAAACTTTCTCAGGTGATAATATTTAATCTCTATTCTACAAAATGTGGCTTTTTAAAAAATTTTTCTTTTTGGGTCACACCTAGTGATGCACAGGGGTTACTCCTGGTTTATGCACTCAGGAATGACTCCCGGCGGTGCTCAGGGCACCATATGAGATGCTGGGACTTGAACCCGGCTCTTCCCCTAGCCGCCCGAGTTGGTGGAGGGGTGGGCCGGGTCATGGGGCAGACAGTGGATTAATTGAGAGCCAAGCCAGTTGATTGATCAGATGCCATTTATTCCATTCTCCCCACATGCCTGCCCCAGTCTCACTGGGCACCCCCCCCCCCCCACACCATTCTAGTCTCACCCTGTTCCTCATTCCCATCTCCTCCTATTTCTCCAGCTCCTTTCTTCGTGCTCCATCTCGCAGCCTGGGCTCTCTCTCTACACGTGCCTGCTCTTGCATTCTTCTTCTACATTCTTCTCCCTCTGTCCCCCTTGCCAGTCCCTCTATATTCCATCTTGCTGCCCTGTCTCTTTATCATCTCTCTAACTCTCTTTTCTCTCCAACTCCCCTTTTTAGACCCTCATTCTTCAGTTCCAGCTCTCTGGATTCAGCCTCTCTTCCGCTAGTCTCTCCATCCCTACTTGTCTCTCTCCCCCTTGCCCTCTGGGCCCATGCTACACCCAGTCTGGTAGCAAAATCAACATAAGAAAGCCCTTCCTGAGGACCCACCTGGTTCAAAGGAAACACAACCTAAAAGGTATTCCCAAAGCCTTTCCTAACTGCCCAGGAGCAAAATACCTCTTAAGGTGCTTTTCTCCTTTCCTCTGTCCAATAACTCTATCAACATCTTAATACTAGTTAATTTTGTATGGACACAGTAAGAGATACATTGAGGCTTGTAGGGCAGCTCTCCTGGGAACATCTTGCCACAGACTCAGACTATAGAGCTCAGGCCAGATTAATCATTCCTAACCCTAGCAAGGTTCGAATCTAGTTATTACTTTTTGGATCATGACAGCATTTGTCCATGACCAAGATCTTAACTTATAGTTAAGCATTATGACACTTTGGCCAGGACCATCTCGATGCCAGGGTAGCACATAGCTCACCACTTGCCCTGGTTCCATCCAGTCCCTCGTCCGGGCCCTGCTTTTGGGGTGCTAGGAGTAAGGACAGCTGAGGCTTAGGTGGAGAGAACAGATGCCCAGGAGGTAAATAGCACTGACTCAATAAACTCCCACATTACAAAAGCATTTACTGTCTTCTTGTGTCCATACAAAAAGGACATTGCTCTGAATAAACTATGCAAAGAACTTAAGGAGAAGAGAAAAACAATATTTACAAGTCAACAGAGCACAAAGAAAGAGGTTACAAATAAACACAGAGGAATGGGAGCACTGTGACTGGGAGCAACCCAATGAACCTAAACTACCTGAGGCTATCTATGCAAGAAGGACAAAAGAATGTTATCCAATAGGCAAGCACAAGCAAAGCAAATGCCCTACCCCTAAAATGCAGCTTTTTAAATGTGTGTCTGGTATATTGATATCAACCCAAATAACTTTGATTTTTAAAACAGACTTAAAGACCTGTTGAGCAAAAGTTCATTTCTGTTCGAATGACCATGGAAGTACAAATGTGGGCAGAGGCAGCACTTCCCTTGCTCTGAGGGAAGCAGCTTTGAGAACAGAGAGGAAGGAGGCAGGAAAGAGAATGATGAGAAGTGGGGAAAATAAGGGGCAAAATGACAAACACAGGTGCTTCTTCCACTCAGCCCACATTTCTCACCTTCCTCACGAAAGCAGCGAAGACAGAGAATTCCAAGGCCCATATGAATGCTAGAGCACTGAGGAGATGATTTTTGAATTAAAGTGCAGCTGAATACAAATTTTCTTTAATAAAACAAGCCTCACGATGTTTGCATTGTTTAAAAACCTTAGAGTACCAAATCCTCAAAATTAAAGAGAAGCCCTTTATTAGGTCAGGTGAGGATCTAAAATTATTCAAGGGACATTTATTGATGGCTGTTACTGAGTTTTTCCTGTTGAGTGTGGAAAGCACAGGATTTGAACTTAAAATCTAAGACTTAACTCCAGTTGTGAATAATTAAGTACATCAGTGGGCAGCATAGTAGTTACAAATAGGGGCTTGGAGCTATAAAGGCTCGATTTTGTGTCTCAGCAATAGCACAGGTCAATTACAACAAGCATTGCAGTCCCTGATTCCGCCTTATTTTACTCATATGCACAATAGAGTTATAACTGCACTGCCACATTATATTGTTGTGATGATGAATAAATCAATGAACTTCATCCTAGGAAATCTTTCACCACATATTAGTTATTAAAGTAATGCAATTATTAAGATGTTAATAAAAATAGTTTAATAGTAAAATAACAGGTAATTTTACTGTGAGTAAAAGGTGATGTTAATCAAAAAGTAGAGGTGTCTCTATTTATATATTTTTTAAAAGTACAGGTTTATTTAAAGGAGAGGTAGATCATACTTAACTGGCTTCTTTTCAATCCCTTTTTCGTTTCCCCAGAACACTGGATGCATGTAACATATTCCATTTCTTGTGGTTCCTATGCCTCCCAGAATTTTTATGCCTTTGAGTTAGACCCCCAACCAACCTAAATGTAAGAAGTCTTCCAGGAATAGTCCCTCACACCAGGAGTTTTATACTTTGGCACAGTAGGTCCAACACACTGGCTTCTTCCCTCTCCCTTGAGAAATATCACTGGTAGCTGCTCTTCACTTGATTTATTTGTAGAAAAACGACATAGGAACAAAATCTTAAAGTGGAAAGCACATGCACATTGCTTCCATTTCATGGAGTTACAGCCCAGAGTACACATTTCATATGATTTCATTTCATTTCATTTGGGTTTGGAGGTCACACTTGGTGGTGTTCAGGGCTTCTTGCTGGTGCTCGGATGACCATATGTGTTATTGGGAATTGAACTGGGGTTGGCTAAGTGCAAGAGTTTTAACCACTGTATTATATCTCTCTGGCCCCGGAGGACACTCAGAGGTTGCTCAGAGGCATCTTTGACTCAGTAAATGTTCATCAACATCAGCCATAATCATATATACGTGATTTATATTTAACTTCTCAACAAGTATATGGAATTGCTATCATTATGATCCATAAATGACAGAAGAAGAAACTAAAGTTAAGTGAGTTGTTCAGATAACAAAATAAATACCAGAGCTCAAACTTGAACTCAGACTATGCATGTTTTTGCTGTCCTATCATTGAATTCCTTTTCTCCACAATCCTGTAAAGGGAGTGGTTGGTAAGTTATCCTCATTTTGAAGGTAAGGGAACAAAGATTATTACAAGCAATAGTTTAACCAGAATTCTGCCTCTAACCCAGTTTTATTTATTTATTTATTTAGGTCATGCCTGGCAGTGTTCAGGGCATGGACCTGACTCCGCACTTAGGGACCACTCCTTGTAGGCTTAGGGGACCATATGGGATGCTGGAGTCTGAACCTGGGTTGGCCAAGTGCAAAGCAAATGCCCTTCTTGAACTATTTCTCTGGCCCCTCTAACTCTGTTTTATATTTCTTGTAGAGTTATTCTTGTTATACATATGCTATAAAACTTTCAGAGTTCAACAGCCCAAAGTGACATGGTTAACATATATAATAACATAAATATATCTTTCTCACAACTTAGGGCATTGAGATAAAGAACCTCAGCTCTAATTCCCATAAAAATTAAAAATATGCCTTTTGCTTCCTTCACTCAATGACATTGCATTGCACAACTGTAAGCAAATATTTAATTAGGAAGGCAAAGCATAACTTCCACTAAGATGCTTTAATAGGAAAATACAGAATAATTTTGACTAGACCTCTGTAAACACAAGGAATTTTACTAAACTTATTTGATTACTGGGCTTCCATTTCAAAACAAAATGGTGACTGATTAGCATGATCAGTCAAATGATTCCAATACTATCCAATCCAGCAGCTCACCCACCAGTTCA